CTTGTAAAAACGTTGGACTTTTTAGGTGTATAGCCGACATTCTTACGTTTCAAAAATGCTCTCAGCTTGGAGTATTTTGATATATCCACGTTCTCCTCTATGAAAATAGTTGACTTAATCATTGAGTATTCACTCCACAAACTTGCCGGTGACTTTAAAGTTCTTGACTTCTCCATGAAATATGCTAGCAGTGACATTTCAGAAACACAAGTATTTTTGTTCTGGCACCATTCTTTGAAATTTCTATATGCTCGTCGTTGCGCACTTTCGACTTTCGGGCAATAAAAATTCGCAGGCAGAAAATCACTCATTTAGAAATGATAATTCAAAACCAGAAAAATTGTAACTTTCATGTAGCTTTGTTTGTAAACACCTTAGAAACGTCAAAATCCAAAAAAACCAAGGCGACTTTGCAAGACTTCGAATAATGTCAAAATGAATTGATTAAGAAATGTCAAAAAATAAAACCTAATCTTTATTTCATAAAGAACTGTGCCAGATAAAATGATAAAGATAAAATGTTATGCATCACGCAGCAGTTAAGGATAATTTACCAGTCTCGGACACTATTGCGAGCTCTCGCTCGGTTCGAGCGCAAAATCGTCCTCGACTGGTAAATAATACTTACTTCCTTTATGGTGTAAATAATTATTTCGTCCTTTGTTGTAAATATACTACTTTAATCTCTTTCCACTAGTTTGTCAATTTTTTTATCTGATATTTTTTTAGATATTTTCATACAACCCGCAGCTGCAATGAAGCTCATCACAGTACTTTTCATCGTAGTCATCGCCGTTGTCTGCCTACAACAGACCGCCCTGGCAGCTGATTGCATACTCAATGGTGGCGTATGCCAACCAGATGGAAGCCTTGGCAACTGCTGTTCTGGATTCTGCTACAAGCAAGTGGGATGGGCCAAAGGCGATTGCAGAAACAAATAAATAAACTCAGATATTATGGAACCCTCCAACTGAAACTGGACTACAGTAAAATATAAATAAATGAGTATGCTTTAAACGTGGTTATTTTATTTTTCTCCCCCACACTCATATTTAATTTCATTCAATGTTAACAGGAAGACACTTAAACATTATTCGAACGGGCTTCAGGTGCTTTCAATTTAAATTTCACGAGGTGACAATCTCGATAGTAGGTACCTAACAACGAAGTGTTCGAACTAGCAATAGTTTTGGCATTAGCAGTTAATATTCTCACACAACCTTAGAATAAACGTATTCTATATTACCGTATCTATTTTACGACTATTTTACAAATTAAATTGGTTCTGATATGCAGGGTGTTTGGAAAAGTTGAAAAAGAAATGAGATGAAAATAGAGCTAAAACAGTAAAAAAAGTTCCTATAAACATTGGTCCTCCGGAGCACCGCTACTGAGATATGGCCCTCCAAAGGGGTCTCGGAATTTGGATATTTTTTTAAATAACTTTCTTTCTGATTATTATAATGGAATGAAAATTGTAGGTAATAATCATACCATAAGGTCCTTTAACTATCATAAGTTTAATCAAAATTGGTTATTAATAGGGATAGTTTTCTAACTACCCTTAAGGTGGCCATATTCCTGGCCGAGAAATAGTGAAATTTCTGGCGTTTTTAGGTACTGAAATCTTTAAAAGTAAAACGTGTAGAACAAAAGTAAGCAGAAAAATAAAATCCTTGATGTTTTGTTTATTCATTGTTACCATTTAAATTTACTCAAATAAAATAATAACTAAAAAAAGCGTTTGTAAAACATGCGTTTGCTGTTATTCTAACCCCACATTTTAAGAATTATTTTCACGTACTTATAAATAAAAGTAAACAATTTTATATGTAGGACTAAGCAAGTAAATGTTATAAGAATATTTACATGTGGAATTATATATAAAAAAGTTAGTATTTTCGTAGATTTCAGTACCTAAAACCTTGATGGTTTGATCGTTTTTTGCACCTGTTTATTCGTTTTACTGCGGCGTCTTTGAAAATACTCAGGTGGCATGTCATAACATTCCTATTATTTGATAAGCTATCATCAAATTCAATTAAATGTTTAAAATTATTTGTCTTTGCGGAAAACACTATTTAAAGAATATGGGGCCCTTCAGAAATTTTCTGATGTTAAAGAAAGTTACTGTTTTGAGCCATACATTATTTACAAAATAATTATTTCTGACTAAACTATGCAGAATTTGAAAAAAAGAAGACATTTTTTTTCAAAAAAGTCTAATCCATTAAAAAATAATATTGTTAAATGATGATAGTTAAATACCCTTATGATATGATTAGCACCTACAATTTTCTTTACATTATCTTAATCAGAAAGAAAGTTATTTTAAAAACCATTCAAATACAGATTATGTACAATTTACAACATGCAATATACAAAGTCATTGTGATGTATTCAACGCTAGTAGTAAGTCCTTAAAGCTAATGTTAAATGATTTGTTTTAAGTTTATATCTTATACTTGTTAACTTTAATGTTGTTACATACTCTGTATTTCGTTTCTCATATACTCTGTAATTGAGCTATGCCTGTTGAGTATACTTTGTTAAATAAATAAATACCTCAGTAACTGTGCTCCGGAGGACCAATGTTTATAGGAACTTTTTTTACTATTTTTGACTCTACTTTCACCTCCTTAAATTTTGTACCAACTTTTCCAAATACCCTGCATAAAAACTTTACAATATTATCGTGCTTACTTTCCTGACAACTAAATATTGAGATGGAACACTTTTTACCTCAAAAACCAAATACTCGTAGATGCCGAAAATAAAAAATATCCATTACTACAATTCGCGTATATATTGTGTCAACAGTATGAACGAGGGAAATCAATGACAAAAATGGCTGACGAAGTGATTGTGTTGAAATTTACAATTGAAGATATAATTAAAGGTATCGAGAAATTGACAGCGTAAATATTCTTGGAAAGAGTTCTGGTCGACTTCTAAATATGAATAGAAAAGTCACAAATAACTTTGGTTAATATCTGCACGCGCCAAAGGATTGCTGTGAGAGAAATTATCTCTGTGTGGAACCAACAATCAAACTTAAGGTTGCGCTAAATTTAAAGCTACATGGAAAAGCGAACACTGGACTCAAACAATTTTCAGTGAGTCTAAGTTTGACGTGTGTATTGGAGATTTTCGTAGAAAACATACAGCGAAATTTCTACATGTAGTTATTCATGATCTTTGAATGCGTGTCGGCAAAAAGGGTAAAAGACTAGTAGACAAGACCAAATCGGCGGCTTCATATGAAAAAATTAGTGGATTCGATTTTTTTGCATAATCACCTCCGTGAGATGTCCTTGAATGAGGATCAAAATCCGCTCCAGGGACATCTCACGGAGGTGATTATGCAAAAAAATCGAATCCACTAATTTTTTCATACGAAGCCGCCGATTTCGCCTTGTCTATAGGGATAAATAACGGAACACCTTAGAGAAACTTACTGTCCGCAGCACCAGAACGATTTGATGACAGAAATTTCATTTTCCAGCAGAACGAAGCATTTTTTTGTCTTTGTCATACCAGACTAACAAAAAATGATTTGGAGACAATGATATTAAAATCTTGAGCCGACTGTCAAGCAACACCGACTAAATGTCTGAAACATTATGACTTATTATGATCATCATTTTTGAGACAAAAGATGAAGAAGTTTTATTGTTTTTTAGTATTTTTTTATTTGCATGTCTCCTGGCAGATAGATTAGTACATTGGTCCTGTTTTGCAGCCAGATAACTAGAAATGGCTACACGAATGTTATTTCTGCTTTCTCAAATCTAGCAAACATAGTACATAAACAGTGTAAGTATATTTTGCTAAGCTTCGTTCCTACAAAAGATTGTATTCTCCAAACAAAAAATATTTTAAACGTTAATTGGACTATTTAAAGTCATTTACTTATCCGGGCACAATAGTTTCGCCAAAAACATCAAAATACAGAACAGAAAATAGAAGGTAGACTAACAGTAGGACATAGATGTAAAGTAACTCTTCAAATAATGTCGAAAAATAAAAAAAATATGTAAAGAAAGATCAAAAAGACCACCAGCTTTACACATGCCAGTGAAGATATACCTACCCTAAAAAAAGTGGAGCAGTTGGGTTTATAGGTATGCGAGAAGAAAAATTAGTTAGAAGAACAAATGAAATAAAAAAACTTATGCAAGTTAACATGCATCGTATGTTTGAACAATTTCCGGGCTGGTCACCACTTCGTCAGTTTATGTTTGTTCTTGAAAAGAAACATTGAAACTGGTCCTCTGGCTGGTATTTATACTTGCTGCATTTTTGCGGGTGCGTTGTTTCCAAATTGCAGGTAGTTCTAACCCTTTGTCTCGATTCAAATTATCTCTATTCTGGTGGCTGCCCCTATCTTTCTTAAGGTGCTGTAGATGATACTGACATTGTGTTTCCTTAAGGATGTACTGACTAGATCCATTTCTTCTACGAGCAGGTCGGAAGTGCTGCAATTTCTCATTTAAGTTTTCTGGTTCTTAATGCACCAATGTCAAGGCAATAAATAATTCTTTTAAGTATAAAATCAATCAATTCTAGATTTTAATAATGTATCATTACTGTTTGTATCATTTAATGGTGTATTTGTAACTTTGAAATTACATTGATTTGGTTGCCTTCTGTGACATTTTTATAAACACTATCCAAAAAATTTCACGAGATCAAAAAGTTGAGGGATAGAATAGAGAAGTTGTGTTTACGCAAAAGAACAGTGTAATTGTAAAAAAAAATCAGGCACTAGACGATTTATGGTTTCAAAAAAGTATCACCCGGTAGATGTGCGGTAATTCGTACATCACAATTGTTTAGTGAACACTTTTATTAATTTTTTTAAAAGACATACAAAATTAATCAGAAATTAAGCATACCTGTAGATTTTGTCGGTGCAATATCACAATGCATGTATATATCAAAATCGTTTTTCTTTTTATATTCATATTATTCTTGGATGTATAAAAAAAGACAAATAATCATTTTCTTACAGAATCCTTTATTTTTCTTCCCACATCCTACAATTAAGTGCAATGTATAATTATTTTATAAGTATAAATTATTTTCAAATAAAAAAATAATGAAATTAAATGCTTTGACATGGAATATTGTACCAAATACATAATTTAATCAGCTTTCGCCACAAGTCCATTCTTGCTGGGCTCAAACATTTCCTCGCAAATCCCTTGTACCATTTCAGTTAGAGTATTCTTTATAACGTCCTTGTCCCTGCATGATAAAAACATGGAATTAAAAAAATTGAACCATGTACTTTGAAAAACTAATATCAGTAAGATTATTTACAGTACTTACAAGACTATGTTAGTAATTCTGGATTTTAAGTACCAGTGCCGTAGATACGCGGGGTTTGGCCTTTTTGTATAGTGTGCTTCTACGACTATGACTTTTTTTAAATATTTCTTCTTCGTTAAATCAACACATTTTCGAAAAAATGCTGCCGCCAAATTTTTGTATTTTCTTAGATTTTAGTGCAAATTATTACATGAAATAATTGTTGATTTATTTTACATTATATTATGTTTATTTGTTGTTGTGTATATAATACCGAGCCTTCATTCTAAGAAAATACAAAAATTTAACAAACGAGTTTTGATTTCAAATGTGCTTTAATAACGTAATGAGAGGAATTTTGAAAAAAATGATAAGTGTAGAATTTACAATTTTCAAACGAAACCCCTATCTACAATACTGGTAATCTAGTAGGTATTATTCATAAAATTTTGACTCATTCATAAATTACAAATATATTTCAAACATGTTTGCCTATATTTTCAAAACAGTGACTTTCAAAATCAAAGTTTATATAAACCTTTCCACTTATTTTTACCTAAGAAATATTTCTTTCAAATTTGAGCATTTGCTCGTGGAACACATACATACCATAATGTTTAAAATAGTACTTACTTCATATCAGGGCTGGCACACAGTTCAGTGTAATACTTGATCTTTGGCTCGGTTCCGCTGGTCCTGAGAGTACAAACCAACCCATTCGAAAATTGGAATGTTATCATTTGGCTGCTGCTGGAAACAGGCAAAACCGCCTTATTATCCGGCTGGTTGTTGTCAAAACCGGTTGTTAGATCACGCACCCCTATTATTTTGTATTTGCCGTTCAAAATCCCTTGCGGATACTGCAAAGAAATACTTTTAATGAAAAATTCTTAACTCATTTCCAACAACTCACCGTATTTGGACCATTAAAGTTTCTGATCCTTTCAAAAATCGCATTTATTTTGATCGGATCATGGCAAATGTAGTAGGAATTACACGACAGGTGTTGCCCGTAAATCGAATAGATCTCCTCCAATTTCTCTGTTAAAGTTTGGTTCTTGCTATACAGGTAAGTTGCCATGGTGGCAAACTGGCACATTGCGGAAACTCCGTCTTTGTCCACCACATTACTGGAACACATAAACCCTATTGCTTCTTCAAAGCAGAATATTACCTTCTTGCCTTGTTTCATCAGATCCAATGCTAAATTTCCTAGAATTTAAAACTTGAAACGTGAAAAAAACCCTAGGATGAGAAACAAATATCGTACCTATCCATTTAAATCCTGTAAGTGTGTCGAAAAACTTGAACCCTTCCTGTTTGCTCATGGTTCGCAGAATCATGGAACTTACAGTGCTCGAAATCATACAAACGTTGCTAAGGGGCTCGTCTGGGTATTTCAGTTTGAAGCAATGGAGAAGCCACCAACCAAAAAAAGCCCCTAACTCATTTCCCGAGAAAACTTTCCATTCTCCAGTCCTGAAAAAGTTACTTTAAAATAATTTAAGCTCGTGGAAAGTTTAAGGACTACTTGCTTTGGATTTTTTTCTGCAGCAGCCATCCTATCTGCATCTGGATCATTTGCCAGTATAACCACACTGTTATTCTCATTTGCTGTTTTGAAGGACAGATCTAAACTACTCTTCCCCTCTTCTGGGTTAGGAAATCTGGAAATTAGTCGTAATATTGACATATGTGGAATGAAAATGCTCCACGTTGGGCGCCAGCTTGAAATATAGTGATTATACAATACAACAGTACTTGACTGTATTGAACTAAGCCGTGGCAGTAAAAATGCTCCACCATGCCAGAAGTTTGAGAAATTCAAACCTAAAATTGCAGAAAATTTATTTTGAAATGTTTTTGAGATTATGTCACACCTTCATATATGTTTCCACTCAATATTGTATACATTAATTTGATTCCAGTATTTGAGCAATATTTTTTAATAGATATATTTATCCTAAGCTGCTCACATTAATCAAGCACTTTAATTTTTAGACGCGAGGGGACCTACGTTAATCGAGCACACCGTATCATGAGAGGTATGTAAATTTATAGTTAATATCATTGAGTTTTCAAGATTAAAATGGGTAAAAATTTATTTCCACATTAAATAGTACATTTTTATGTAAAAGACTGCTGAATTCAAATCCACTGTCAGAATTGAGTTAGAACGTGTGGTTTTTTTTCTAACCTCAAAAAACCGAGCAGGAATCGCTATTTTCAAATTCTGAGCGGATTTTGACCAGATTTTGTATAAAGGAGTTTTTTGGGTCGCTGATTACGAATATGAATTCACATTGTAAAAATTCAAGATGGCTGATCCAATATGGCGGGTGTACTTTTTTGAAATTAACCGATTTCAGTAAAATTTGGCATCATAAGGTTTGCTGGTTGATCTCACCTTCATTAATCACACATCTGGAGCCAAGGTAAAAGATTACACTCCGTCTAAAAATGTGACTTCGCTTAAAAAAATGACTTAAGGACTCTACACATGTAATGATGTGTAGTGTGATGTGCTTGTTTCCATGGGACAAGACAAAAAAACTACTATGCAGTTTTCCTATGGCATTTAGATGCTTTTATTTCTTAATAATTTTAAAGTTCAAGGAAAAGGACACATTACTGCCACACAGCACATCACTGCATCTGCTTATGCCTTCAATCTAAAAATGTGACTTTGCCGAAAAAATGCCGCTTACTCGGCCTAAAATTATGACTCTGCCTACAAATTTTACCTTGATTTATGAAAATCTGGCTCCAGATGTGTGATTAATGAAGATGAGATCAATCAGCAATCCTTATGATGCCAAATTTTACTGAAAGCGGTGGATTTAAAAAAAGTACACCCGCCATATTGGATCAGCCATCTTGAATTTTTACAATGTGAATTCATATTCGTAATCAGCGACCCAACAAAACCCTTTATACAAAATCTGGTCAAAATCCGTTCAGAATTTGAAAATAGCGATTCCTGCTCGGTTTTTTGAGGTTAGAAAAAAAACACACGTTCTAGTTCAATTCTGACAGTGGATTTGAATTCAGTCTTTTACATGAAAATGTACTATTTGATGTGGAAATAATTTTTTTCCAAATTTTCCCAGTAAATTTTCATCAATTTTCACTATTATTCACAAGTTTTTTGAGGTTAGGAAAAAATTGTGACGTGATGGGCCAATTCTGACCCCAGAGGTTCAGGAGGCCAAATTACTACGAAAAATATATGTCGCATAAAAAGTATACCCAACTTTTTTTTTGTGTGTGGCTGTGAATTGATAACATACCGAAATCAACTAAACTTCAATTGGTGAGTGAACAATAGTCGTATCGAAACAATCCAAAATGGAAATTAAACAAAAAGATCAGTTTCACGTTAACGTATACAGTTGAGAAATGAAATAGCTATAGGTGTGGCATAGTATCAAAAACATACCAAAATCTCTGAAAATCCTGATACGATGGAGCAATTTCACGGCCGTTCCAAGTCTTCCGACGTGCAGCATTCTTCTCTTCTTTACTTACTTCACTGTTGGAAATTCTGGATCAGGATCCCTCTGCTCTAATACTGGTATAATCTTTATCCCTACGATATCACAAAGTTTTTGAACATAAGGGTACCCAACCCCATGCATAGCGGTGTAGGTAAAAGGCATTCCAACTTCTTCATTCAGTTGCTTGTGCTCAGGTAAAATAGCTTCACTCGTAGTTTTTAAGTAGTGGTCTAGTACTTCTTGTAGTGGATCTTTCAGCAAACAGCTTTTCTCTATTACCGACGTGTCCCAAGACGTCTCCAAAGGTTTAAGATTCTGCATGATCGAAGTTTGAATGTTCGTATCAGCCGGCGGTATGATCTGAGACCCGTTTGCAGCATAGACCTAAAAAAATTAAGTGATCATAACAACTAGACAATATTTACTAGTACCATATGGCTTTCCGAGTTGTTATATCATGGTTTACGTACATGGTCGTCCCCAGTTGCAATTTAAAAATACACTTCTTTAGCCTTAATTAAGAATAAAGCTTTCGTAGTCATTACTGAAGATGCCGACAGTGGAGAACGGCGAAATGTTTGGAAGCATTAGATGCGACCAGAAAACCACCAATATCTGAGAAGCGGTTCCATCTGTAGCGGCCTTAGAACCAATAAAACTTGAAATCAACATCACGATGGGCCAAGGAGTGGTTCTGGCCCCCACAGAACCCAGCCCGAGAACAACATGGGCAGGTCAAAGATTCCTAACTGGCAGCGACCAGCATAATAACCCGGAAAACCATGGTACTTTTAGACAGTAATTGATAAATATCTCTTACTTTGTATCCATTATCCTCCTTTGGATTATGTGACGCTGTTACCATAACTCCACTGGCACATTTATATTTCGTAACTGCGAATGGTATAAAGGGGGTGGGGACTACTTGACTGAACAGTTTCACTGGGTATCCGCCGCACACGAATACTGCTGCTGTCAATTCTGCCCATCTTTAAATAAATAAAAAATGTATGTCATTTAATGAAAATACTACTGTTCCGAGTAAATATTAACTCATCAGTTAATCTCAGAAACAAGCTGCATCCTGCACAATGATTACACCTACAAACAGAGCTTTCAAAAATGTTTACAAGCCACGTGACAGCCGAGCTTAGGCAACCTAACATTGCACGAAAATGAAAAAAAAAAATGACAAATGACAAACTGTTACGTCTACACTCGAGATGATGCAATCGCTGATTGGTGGAATAGTATCTTGTGAAAAATTAAGCCAATCAAAATCATAGCCGGTGAAACAGAACGTTGTGTTTTAATGCAACCTTCATCTTACTATTTTAATAATTTTTAATTGTACCGAAATTTAATGACCAACTGAAGGAAATAAAATTACTGTTCAAACCAAATTACTGGTGATGTGGCTTGTAAACATTTATGAAGGCTCTATACAGGGTGTCCCAAAAGTGACGCCCGTCCTTATGGGTTTTGATTAAGGGGACAAAAACAAATCGAAAATCAAGAGTGGAAAATTTTCCGATTGTATTTCTCTGCTGAGTTATTCAAAAAATTAATCAAAAAAACTAAAAATAAACACTTGGGCTGGGTTATTAAATATTTATGTAGTTCAAAGCTGTATTTGCTGCAGCTGTATGTTTTTAAATGAAAACTTACCATTGCCATTGGTGCATGACGTTCCGTTAGCAGTTAGACTAAATTATTGGTTTCAACATGATGGAGCTCCATCACATTATGGTTTACGAATATAAAATTATCTGAAGCAAAACTTCCGAGACAGATGGATTGAAAGAGGTGGACCATGGCCTCCAGGATCACCAGATCTGAATCCCCTAGATTTTTCTTTTGGGGTTCTTTAAAAGAAAAGATTTATAGTCCGTATATACGCGGCTGTCGCGTTAATAGACCAAGAGATGCTACAAAGAGTTCATGCTTCAATGTTGAATCGTGATAATCTTTGTCTTGAAGTAGAAGCCAACTTATTTGAACACCTTTTGTAAAAACAATTTCTATTACTTAAGCACATAATGGTTTTAGTTTGTTTTATTATAAAAATGTTTTTCTATATCCTTTTCAGGTTAAAATAATTCCTTACACCCAGGTACAACTGACAACCGAAAACTATACTTATCTACTATTGGTTATAAATTATATGTCTTGGTTCCCATAAGCACAGACCTCAGTTTTGAGACAAAAAAATGGATTTTCACTTTTTTAGTTTTTTGAATACTTTTTTGAATAACTCGACGACGGAAAGTAATCGGAAAATTTTCCACTATTGATTTTCAATTCGTTTTTGTCTCCTTAGTCAAATCCTAGGAGGACGGGCGTCACTTTTGGGACACCCTGTATAAATACTAGTGTTCTATAGATAATTGATTCACCTTTCATTTTTGTTGATATAGAAAATATCGTGAACGATATGTAAGTGAAGATAATCAAGTATTAAATATTGTTTGGTCACAGGGGATATGGTTGATAACTAAGGCCATGTCAATAAAACATAATCACTAAGTTAATGTAACATGCAATTTTGTAATAGCCACAATTTAATAAAAATAACTGATGCTAAAAATAATTATTTATTTTAAAGATTTTATGAATGTATGAAGTGGCCTCCTCAGTCGCCTGATTTGAACAAACAAATTTTTCTCTAATCACACAAAAAATAAACCATATAGGAACTTAAAGAATTATGATATATGTGCATATAAATCGTTTACACACCTCTTGCTGTTGTGTCGACCATCGTATCCCACCACAATCCCATTTTTCTTCAACAGATTAACATTTTTCCCCTCCAAATACTTGAGGAATCCCTGAGCAGTCTGTATGATCACTAGGTCGTTCATACAGGCATAGCCTACTGCCATTTTCCCCCTCAAACCTGCCGTTCCAAAGGATATCCGATTCAAAAGACACGCTTTTAACTCCTCCACTTTATTTTTGGCCACCAGGACCTTTAAGGCGGTGCAGGTAGATTCGTTTTTGTCCCACGTCAGCCATTCATGGACCTTTTGGTCCAGCTCCGTGTCGCCGGTTCGTATGCACGACATTGTCACGGCAGTAATTCACAGTCCTACAACTTAAACCAACTGTTATTCGCACATTCAATAATAATCTACAATAGGTTTTTGTTGCCTTACGAATTACAGTTTTCTCTGATAAGTTTATCATATATTTTTATTTATGAAATATTTATTGCGGGATATTTATTAATCAACTGATGACACTTGCATAATGAAACACAGTAGTGTAACTGTTACCAGTTCAATTTTTTTGGTTGCTCAATAATAATTTAAATTATTTAGTAATTTTCTAAAAGTTAAGTATTTACACTGTCAAAATATACCAGGTGTTAACGAAATAAGTACTCAAAATTGTAGCGTATGTAAAACATTTCGAAATATGATGAAAACCTTAGTAGGTGTTTGTCAGTGGCGGCCCTTAAGGGAAATACAGCCCCTTGAACTTCGGAAACAGTTTTTATTGCATAACTTCAAAACGATTTAATATTAAATCACGAAATTTTGGGGTTGTATTACTATTTATATACTTAATAATCGACATAATATACAAATCAAATCAAAATTTGCTACAGGGGCGTAAGAAAATGCGGGACCATGGGGCAAATTTTCCAATTTTTTTTATACGCCATTTTTTCTGCTTCCTGAACCGAAATTATTAAAATTTATCATATTTTGCATAAAAAGGTACCTATTCTTGTTAGATTTTAATAGCATGAGCTGTTTTCCAGTAAAATCCATTTCAATAATTCATTATGTACTCAAAAATTTCTGCTGAAAATAAATGGATCAAATTGTGCCATGAGAAAATTACTTTCAACGGTGAAACTACATTTACAATAAAAATTTTATGTTTCATGGGTCTTTTTTTTATATTTTTTGATTTTCAAATAAAAATAATAGTAATAACATTTAATTATTCAAAATTATTTATGTTACTGTTTACTACAAAACTATCTACTTAACTGTGATATTAAACCCTGATTTAGTAACAGTTACATAACAATTACAATAACGATAATAATAGTACAAAAGGAAAATTAAATAAAAATAGTCATTTTTTCTCATGGCACAATTTGATACATTTATTTTGCAGTAGGAATTTTTGAGCAAGTAATGAATTATTGAAATGGATTTTACTAGAAAACGGCAAATGCTATTAAAATCTAATAAGAGTACCTTTTTTATGTAAAATATGATAATTTTCATAATTTCGGTTCAGGAAGTAAAAAAAATTGTAAATTTGTCCAATGATCTCGCATTTTCTTAGACCCCTGTAGCAAATTTTGATTTGTATATTATACCGATTATTAAGCATATAAATAGTAATACAACCCCAAAATTTCGCGATTTAATATTAAACCGTTTTGAAGTTATTAAATAAAAACTGTTTCCTGAGTTACCCCTTTAAGGGGCTGGATCTCCCTTAGGGGCCGCCACTGACAAAAACTCTACTAAGGTTTTTATCATATTTCGAAATGTTTTACATACTCTCCAATTTTAAGTACCTACTTATTTCGTTAACACCTTGTATAATACAGTACAATTTTAGACAATGATCGCAATTTTAAATTGATTATAAAGAATATAGTCTAAAGACTAAGTTTTGGGAATTGTGTATAGGAAATCTGATAATGAGACATATTTTATTGATTTGTGTGGCCTCAGTATAATAAATAATGTAAAACAACCGAGCTATATTTAGAGAAATGATGTACAGTAGTATTACAGGGTTATAAAAATTGATTTCTTAATGTAGATTAATCACCCTTTAAAGAAAACTGTATTGATTTCAAATGCATTGGTTTTAAAAACTTCAACTTTCGTCAAAAGAAAAGTTCCATTTCTCAATAAAATTTGGGTATCTCTTACCATTAACGGTTGATTTTTTCCAATTTTCCAAATTAAAAAAAAATACACACTCGTCAGGGGTAAATCATAGACAAGTGAATTATTTTGTTCCAATTATAATTAATTTTCTATACAGGGTGGGTCATTAATAATGGTACACAGTTTAATGGCATATTGTTAACGTCAAAATATAGTGATTGAGCCAAACATGCCTTAATCAATTATTGCTCCTTTTCGTTCTACAGGGTGTTAAAGTTTACGAGTTATGAGACCCTGTATATGTATTCTACGAATATTAAAGAAAAATGGCCTGCTGGGTATAGTAGATAAAAACTGGAAAATTTTCTAAGCAGACAAAGAGCGGGATATAAGGTGCTTCCAACAGTTACATATGTAAGTATATGGGATAACCCTGACATTTCCACTGAAATATATTTCTGGAAAATGCTCAAAATTTCAAGAAAAAATACTAGGAAGGATTGATTAAAGTTGTTTTTTGTCGTTATTTTCATGCATCTCTTTTTAAATATAGTGATACAAAAAAATATATACTGTTGCTTCAATTAAAATAAAAAATAAAATTGCACCTTAACATACAGGGTGTTTTCAAAAGTAGCACACATGGCACCGATGAATCTGCAGCTAAAATTTGTGTAAAATTCGACTGTTATACCTTTTTGTGGTTTAGCCGCTATTCCATATTCCTTTGGAAACTTTGAGAGATTGTATCTCCTAAGAGATGAATATTTTACTAAGGTCATTTTTATGAAAAACGTGTTCCTTTTAGCTACAGATTCACCGGTACTTCTTCTACTTCTTTAGATTACTGAACTTATCCCAATCTAACTTATTTATTTATGTTGTGTGTAAGTTCTTGTTTTTTTTTTAGTAATTTTATTTATGTACACCTACTAGTTTTTATCTTTGTGTTCATTTTTTGTGTATTCTGACTTGCCATAAATATTCTATTCTATATCAAATGGTCAAATAAAGCCATCTATCTATCTATCTATCTATCTATCTATCTATCTATCTATCTATCTATCTATCTATCTATCTATCTATCTATCTATCTATCTATCTATCTATCTATCTATCTATCTATCTATCTATCTATCTATCTATCTATCTATCTATCTATCTATCTATCTATCTATCTATCTATCTATCTATCTATCTATCTATCTATCTATCTATCTATCTATCTATCTATCTATCTATCTATCTATCTATCTATCTATCTATCTATCTATCTATCTATCTATCTATCTATCTATCTATCTATCTATCTATCTATCTATCTATCTATCTATCTATCTATCTATCTATCTATCTATCTATCTATCTATCTATCTATCTATCTATCTATCTATCTATCTATCTATCTATCTATCTATCTATCTATCTATCTATCTATCTATCTATCTATCTATCTATCTATCTATCTATCTATCTATCTATCTATCTATCTATCTATCTATCTATCTATCTATCTATCTATCTATCTATCTATCTATCTATCTATCTATCTATCTATCTATCTATCTATCTATCTATCTATCTATCTATCTATCTATCTATCTATCTATCTATCTATCTATCTATCTATCTATCTATCTATCTATCTATCTATCTATCTATCTATCTATCTATCTATCTATCTATCTATCTATCTATCTATCTATCTATCTATCTATCTATCTATCTATCTATCTATCTATCTATCTATCTATCTATCTATCTATCTATCTATCTATCTATCTATCTATCTATCTATCTATCTATCTATCTATCTATCTTAAACTATCCTATAGTCTATTTTTAAACTAAAAGAAGTGAATGCCAAAGACAAATTTACACGGCAAAAGTTACTAAAAACTACCCCAGATAGCATCAGACTAACAAGTATATACTCACTGCAAGTGCTTAGCCTCATTTTGAGTACAATAAGTTTTCATTACTTTTAAATGGGGTTATTAAGTACCTATTCAAAATAATGTGCAATGAGTAAATATGTAATTCTTTGTTTATTTAACTTTTATATAAATATATTTTTAAAGTAGGTAGGTAGATAGGTACTTTCTACATAACATTGAAAAACTGAATATGAATGAAATAATATACTACGAACCAAACATATATAAATGATTGATTCCAGTTTTCACTTTTTAAAAAAAAATTTATTGATTCACATTTTTACATTTAGCATTGGAGTAATCATATAATGGTGTTTTTGTTACTTTGAATTGTTGCACTTCTACGAACTACGTTTATTAAGTTACCGGGTAATTGCCAAATAACTGATAACTGAACTTCGTTCGTAATATATCATCTGCAGGTGTTCAAAGTAACAAAATAAGTTTTTATAATTTATTGGTAAAATTGGTAATATTGGTTTAATATTATTGGTAAAAATGAGGGACAAATCATGTCTTTAACAATTTTCTGAATTATTTGATGAGTCAGTATCCATATCACTCTCGCTATTATTAATTGATATGATTAAAGGTTCAATGAGATCGTCCATAATACCGTCAAGTGTTCTCATTTTTTCTTCCTCCTTAATCACATGTTCTACACATTTTTTCCAGTTCATTTTTGTAATTATTAAGAGTTTCTATTAGTAGTTCCCTTACGTCCTTCAATGTATATGATTTATTTTTGCTTGCCACTTCATTCTTCACCTGTGCCCAAATCAATTCTATAGGCTTTAATTCACAATGATATGGCGGTAATCGTAAGAAAACTTTATTTTCTTTTTTTGCCTTTTCGCCAGTTGTATACAAATTATATTTATCTTTATTTTGGCGAATTAAATACAATAATTGCGATCTCACCATACCTTCTTCAAATTCGATATTTTTTTATTGTAGCCATGCCTTCATATCAATTTTTCTTGTTGATGTTGTCGGAATAGCTTCTACTTTTCGACTATGGTATGATGCATTGTCCATTACAATAACAGAATTATCTGGTATTTTTTTCAAAAATTCGAAAACCACTTTTGAAATACATTTGCATTAATTTCCTCGTGATAATCCCCACTCATCTTGCCTTCGAAAATCAATAACGAATCTTCAACAAATCCTTCCTCTGAGCCAGCGTGTAAGATGATCAGACGCTTTCCTTTACCGGCCGGATTTTTTAATCCCATAGACAGCCCTTCATTGAACGCCTCACGTTTGTTTTTAATATTATTATCAACCCATACCCTTTCTTTTGTATGACCTTCATTTAACCATGTTTCATCTAAATAATAAATAGGTGTACCTTCAGACTTAAACTTTTAAATTGATGTCAAGTAGTCATGTCTCCATCTCACTATATCATCACGTTCTATCAACACACTTTTACGACTTCGTTTTAAGTATCTGCAAAAAAAATAAAATGTTTTTATACTTGCTCTGAGATATGTCTTCAACCTTACTTGAAATTAATTTGTTTTATAAATTTGTATAATGATGAACGGGACATCTGTGGCAAATCCTGACGAATTTTTATTGAGGTTAATATTTTGTCCAAAGTGGGGATCTCATTTTTAAAGAAAAAACTGTGTACTATACCTACGCCTTATGGAATTCTTCATTGATTCATCCAAACATGTAATAATCCCAGGTCGTCCACCACAGTGTTTGAAAGTAGACACCCTTCCAGTAGATCTATACTGTTTTATGGCTCGATATACTGTTGATTTTGCAACACTTAAAAAAGTACAATATGTAATATAGTTCAACAAAAGATAATGTTAATATAAATTTACCTAATGTCATCGCTATTTTGGATACAAGTTGGACAGTTTTAAGAGTAGGTTCATCATCTAGGCTTTTCTTGTACAATTTCAATATTGCTTGTTTTTCTGCCAGAGATAAATGCCCCAAACTGAGTTGTTTTCGTTTCCTTGGGGGCGACGGCGATGTAATTCCAGCACCTGCCTTATTCGTGGTCGGCACATCATCCATATCCAATGGAAAATTGAAAAAAAAACGGATGGCAAACAATATAATAAGTTGTTTAGTTCTGATAAGAACTGAATTATACTTAACTGGGATAATAAATAGATAGAAAAGCAGGTAAAAACACAATGACAACGAACTGATGATAACTAAGAGGCAAAATGACAACAAATGTCAAAATGTAAAATTTATTAGCAGTGTAAAGTGGGTTCGAAATTAACCAATAAGAAACCAACATTTTGGCGCGCAATATTCAAAACGCTCCTCTTAGTTTAAAGAGTATAATCTACAATCAAACACCGAATCTAATTTAATAGAAATCTAACTTGAAACTAAACCTAATCTAACCTTTTTAAAAAAGAAATAATGCACCGAAACTCAGTTCTGACAGCCTTAGTAATTAGGCATTTTTTATTTGTTGATAAAAATTGTTTCCTAAATTCTCCCGTTTTGTTCTTTTTTTAATCAGTAACACTCCTTTTTCAAATATCATCGCGTGAATACTACAAAGTCACTGAATCGGCAAAAAATTGGACCCAGCAAAACCGAACCCAAATCACGCCACTGGCGATTCGAAAAAATAACACTCTGCTCGGCGAATCACAGTAAGTAGTGAAACCCGACTGATTAGTTAAAATAATGAAAAGGTACTCACGGAAAACACCTCGCACTGTCAAAATTTCACGTGTCCGTCATCCACATACGTCAAACGTTCATCCCAACGACCCTACGACAGAAAATCGCAGCCGGCCCGCACGATTCGAAAGTGAAACCCGCAGGCCTTCTCCGTGGACGCGTCATTTGGACTGCTCCGACTCGGTTGGTTGGTCGTGGAATCTTATCTGAGATTTGATAAACAGACTGTCACTAGTAGCGGACTGTTTGAAAGGCGAGCAGCGACGGAAATATTTATTTACGCCGTGGTGAGATGGAGTGAATAGTATTGTTCGCGGTAGAGCATTTTTTTTACCAAAGAGATTAAATTTTCGTCCACATATGTCATCTACGTGGAGGAATTTTTAAAAACTCATTCAACTCCAATACACGAGGCATATATCAAGGTAAGATTTTTTTCTAGTTAAGTGCTGGATCAACAAGTGAAGCGTGAAATTGTTTTACCGACTCAAATTTATACCGGGTGTTAAGAAACTTTCACTAATTGAATGAGTCACATAATAAACTGTTTTAATAAATTAATTTTTACCGATATTTTATCAAATTTGATGCGGATGCAGTCATTGCAACAAATAAAATGTGTTAAGATTGTGTTAAGTATTTGTTTATATTTATCGATCTTAGTGTGATTTTCTAAAATAAAGTAAATAAAACACGAAGAAAATTACCTGAAAAAGCGATACAGGCGGCATAACTTCAAAGAATGTTTTGCTTTCCTTGTGTAAATAGAGGAAAATAAATGTAACCATTACAAACTTTAATGAGAAGCCTGAATAAATGAACTCATATTGGTATATGAGATATGACAAACAAATCTGAAAATATGTGTGTGGGAAAGCCAGTTTCCCGCCATATGCCATTACAAAATGTAATTTGACAATGAAGGTGCTTAAAAAATCAACGTACAAAGACAAAAGAGTGGTCAAATCCATCAAGTTAATCGTACGTCATATTATTTTTGTAACACTGATATTACCATTAGATATTTAGAACAAGAGGGTCCGCCTAATCTCAAGTAAATACAGTTGTCTACGGTTTTAGAGAAAATCAGCCAGTGGACAACACGGTCAGCTGTCAGATCTAAGAACACGTGGCTTAAAAAGAAGCAAAATAACATGAAAATGAAATTGAGACATCTCCCCAGTATCAAGCCGAAGTGCCTTTATTTGTTTGCAATAACTTATTAATAACTAAATAATTATTATCAAAAATATTGGCTTTATTGCAATTAATGTGGCAGAGCTTTTAGATTTTTTTCCATCTACTTTAAGTCAACAATTGCAACAAAAACATAATAAGTTTCCAAAGTGTTAACTTTTCTGGGTTGAACGGGTTTTCGGGGCTGAACTTTTTAGGAGAAGGAATTATTTATTTAAAATTTCATTTTCTTTTCTTCAAACCGGCCTGTTATGTAATAAATATTGCATTTCTTTGTTTTTTTGTGTATACAGGGTGTCCCGAAATTCATGCAACAAAATTTGATCATAGATTCTTAAGACAAATTTAGGGGACTCGTATTTTTTCTTTTTGCCAACTGGCCCCCTTTTTCGGAGTTACAGCCCCCTGAAATCTGCCCCTAAGAAGTATTTTTTATATCTCAAAACCATGTACGAGAATCACTAAATTTGGTACACAGGGGTTTTATGACATGTGGAATCTGATAGCGCTACGCTTTTTGGCGGGGAACCCCTTTAAGACATTTTTTCGTGGGCCCCCTTGTCTTTGGAATCTGAAAAATTTGGTTGCAAATTAGATTTTTTTTTAAATTATTAGTTAGCTAGAAAGCCATTGAATTTATAAACTTTTTTGTCTCTTGATTTTTTGTTTCGTAAAACGCAATGTTTTTAAGGAAAATGGCGAATCACGATATGCATTCGATCACATTTTGACATTTTTCTTACGAAAAAAGTATAAAGAGGCAAAAAGTTTCTAAATTTAATGGCTTTCTAGTGGACTTTTAATTTTTAAGAAATTTAAATATGCGACCAAATTTTGTTGGCTCCAAAGACAAGGGAGCCCACGAAAAATTGTCTTAAGGGGGTTCCTCACCAAAAAACGTAGCACCATCAGATTTCATATGTCATAAAACCCCTGTGTACCAAATTTAGTGATTCTCGTACAACAGGGTTCTGAGATATAAAAAAAAGATTATTCTTCAGGGGGCTGTAACTCCGAAAGAGGGGGCCACTTGCCAAAAAGAAAAAATACGGGTCCCCTAAATTTGTTTTAATTTTAAATTTTAAATTTAATCAAAATTAGTTTAATTTAAGAAGTAGTCATATACAGGGTGTCCCGAAATTAATGCAAAAAAATTTGGTCATAGATTTAGAGGACCAGTATTTTTTATTTTTGCTAAGTGGCCCCCTCTTTCGGAGTTGCAGCCCCTTGAAATTCGCCCCTAAGAATAATATTTTTTTATATCGCAGAACCCTGTTGTACGAGCATCACTAAATTTGGTACACAGGGGTTTTATGTCATGTGGAATCTGACAGTCCTACGGTTTTTAGCGGGAAACCCCCTTCAGAAACTTTTTCGTTGGCCAAAAAAAAAATGGTCTCATTTAAATTTCTTAAAAATTATTAATCCGCTAAAAAGCCATTAAATTTAGAAACTTTTATGTTTTCGAGAAAAATTTCAAAATGTGATCGAATATGCATTCACCATTTTCCTCAAAAACATTGCGTTTTATGAAAAAAATATCATGTGATAAAAAGTTTTTAAATTCAAGGCTTTCAAGCTAACTAATAATTAAAAAAAAAAATCAAATTTGCGACCAAATTTGTTTGGTTCCAAAGACAAGGGGGCCCACGAAAAAGTGTCTTAAAGGGGTTTCTCGCCAAAAAGCGTAGGACAGTTAGATTCCACATGTCATAAAACCCCTGTGTACCAAATTTAGTGATTCTCGTACAACAGGGTTCTGAGACATAAAAAAAGGCTTCTTAGGGGCAGATTTCAGGGGTTGTAACTCCGAAAGAGGGGGCCACTTGCCAAAAAGATAAAATACGGGTCCCCTAAATTTGTCTTAAGAATCTATGATTAAATTTTGTTGCATTAATTTCGGGACACCCTGTATTTACCTTTATTGTACAAATTGAAAATTACAATTTTGCTTTTAAATTATAGATCTAATGAATTTCTACGTTTGAGAAATATATTGCATTTTTCTGGTGCAATGTTTATTTCGTTCCAAATTTTGCGCTCTGGTACTGCCAAAAATATATCTTGTACGTCACAAAATTTGAATCCGTTAAAACAATAGATTTCGGCAAGAACTGCGCGTCTGTATTATTCTGTGATAAGGCCAAAAAAAATAATAATAATGGATTACAAGTGTCAAAATTTGTGTAAATATCATTATACACCATGTCCCATTTTAATCGATCGCCCGAATAACTGCACGATGACCGCCAATTGCTAAGATTTAAAGGGGACCGTACGATAATGATCTTGACTTTGACCAAGAGGTTAAACTTAGGGGTCATTTGGAGGTCAACTTCAGAAATTTCAAATGGAAACGCCATTGGTTTTATCCAGAAATGGAAAGAGCAGAAAATTCTACGTTCCGATATATGTATTTGATCTTAGGTCAGATTGACCCTAGGGGCCCCCCTGAAAGTCAAGTCAGCTTAAATGACCCCTTTTGACCCCAGGGCTCAAGGCCAGAATCACAATTAGACCATTTATCATGACCACGGTAGTTTGTACGGAATTTACCACAAAAAATAATCAACCTTTGCCATAAAATGTGAACATTTCAGTCGGAAAGTTCATTTGACCTTCATAAGGCTCCTAGAGGTCAATCTGACCTAAGATCAAATATACATCTCTGAACGAAGAATTTCCTGCTCTTTCTATTTATGGATAAAATAAATGGGGTTTCTATTTGACATTCTGAGGTTGACCTCCAAATCACCCCTAAGTTTGACCTCTAGGTCAAAACCAATATCATTATCGTACGGCCCCCTTAAAACCTTACAACTTTTGTTCTGAATGCTTTTCAATTGGAGGTCATCCTTCAAAGTCATTCGGGGTGATCGACTAAAATGGGACACGGTGTATAATTCCCTTTTTTAATGAATTATCCACAATTCGCTAAAAACGCGTTCACAGTTTATCTGACATATTCTTTCCCGGGAAATTGAAATACGATAAAAAATGAATGCCACTTTAATTAAGAAAATATCGAGTGCGAAATAAATATAATTTAATTCCATTTCCCTATCACAGAAGCCTCCACCAGTTTTTTCGAGTGACGTTCTGCCTCAAAAATAACTCTATTACTATGGAATCGAATTTGTGTCATGTCTCTGAGAAAACGAAACCTCCAAAATCGTGTTTAATAAAATTTTATTACGGCTTTTACTGTAACACCGCCTAAAAAAACCTGACAAGTTTAGTACAGTATGAAATATTCGTATAAAAAGAACGTTAGTGGGGGTACAACTCGCCAAGATGCGCTAGTCTAGCATGATATGCAGCGTAACTTCGTTCTTGCCATTAAGCACGCCACTGATCGCTGCGGCCGCATATATAATAATATAACTGAAATTAATGGTGTTTTTTATTACCTGAATCTGGAAACCTTGAGAAATAGTCTTAATAGATTAATTGATATTGACAAACTAAGTTGTCGATTAAAAATGATTGGCATGATTCATTTAAGTGTGGCGAAATCTTATCGCCTTGGTTAATATTTGGTTTCCCGTAATCTTAAAAAATAATTTGTCCAAATATTAATACTTTAAGCACATCTGCTAGTATCAACAACACAAAAAATACTTTCAATCAAGTTGCATCAAATCAATTCACATTTTAATTATTTTTGATTATGCAAGGTGTTCTGTTTCTTCTCGACGTTACCCAACCCCTTTTTTCAATGGATCACCCTGTATATTATTACATTTTCAATTTCCTCCTCTTTGAATTTAAAACCAACTTTGATAAACAAATAGGCCAATCAATAGAGCATTATAAGTGATTTTGTGACAAAAATACTACGAGTAGTAGCAAACGGACTGTACTATCATGTAAAAGACAGTCTGCAGATATATGCTTATATGTTTCCTACTACAATTTACCATTAATTAATTTTTTATAAACATTTTTATGTAAAAAACGCATTTTCTATAGTTTTTTGCTTATAAAACCTAAACTAACCAAGCAATTTGAATGCTATAAAGAGACAATTTGTAGAGAATCGAAATACGAATGAAACGAGAGGTCGATCGATCCCATCGGATAATTAGAAACAAAGAAAACCCGAAAAAATCGGAAAATTTAGCCTTTTTTTAAAAATTCATTGTACTTTAAGTGTGCATAAAGCAGGCGCTGTCGGACCATTAGCTTTGGCACAATTGCAATTTGAATTTTTTGGTGCACTATTTTG